GAGCCAAGAACTAGAACATCAGGCAGGTTCCTGGAAAGGTGAGAATCATCCCCCCAGCTTTGGGAGTTCATTCAGCAATGCCTCCAGAGACATAAAAACCTTTAGCAATGTTGAGTTCAAGGTGGGGCTGAAAAGAAACCCAGCTTTTGGGAGGGAGGGGAGTGCTGTCACCCCACTCCAAGAGGAGAGCAGGAAACTGAGACATGAGGCATTGCAGCAACTTAGTGCTGAAGGGTGCAACAACTGAAACCTCATTTCTTCCCCCATGCCAGGCTTGGCTCACTGAGTGCTGAATCTCCCTTCCACCTCTGGCTCTGCCCTGCAGAGACACCCCTGACCCCTTGGGCCAGTCCCCAGCCCTGCTCTTCATGGCCCTGGTGGCCAACAGAGGAGATGGAAAAATCCCCACAACTTCTCCCCCATCCCCACCTGCGCCAGGCACTCCCCTCTGCATGCTTTCTATCTTAAATCCATAACAACCTCCCAGTGAAACTGGATTTGTGGAAAGGCAGTGAGCCTGGGAATCCTTTCTGAGCCCATCCAATCAGCCCAGGGGGAGATGCCAGCAGCATCTTTGAATAAGCCCCTGTGATACCAGCACTGCTGCAATTTTTGGGAAGGTCTGCAACTTTTCCCCTTGAGCAGCAAACTGCAGAGTGAGAAGCCCTTTGGTCAGTCTGTCTTTTCACCAGCAGGTGCAAAAGACTACGAGATGCCTATAACCAAAATGACCAAAAAGCCCCACTGGGCTGATGGGCGTGGAAGATCAAGAAGGTGGAATGAGAGAGGTGTTGGACTGCTGAGCTGGGACCCTGCCGCATCTGGGGACCCCTCCACTGCCTTGGCTGTCACCTTCAGGTGGTCTCTGGGGACATCCAGCTCACGGCTGGGACAATGCAACATGTCAGGCATCACCTGGAGGTTGCCCTGCTCCCCTCTCTGTCAAGGCAGGGCACCACTGGTGGTGCAGGGAGGGTGACATAGAAGGTGACAAAGGGGCAGGAGCGGCACTGCTTGTCTCCTGGTGGTAAGCCACAGCTTTGGGGATTTACAATCCATTGATCTGCACAGGACATTAGGGAGATGCTACTGAAGATACTGAGGATAAAAGGGAGTTGCAGGGCATATTAAGCAGGGCAACTTCAGCTCCCTGCTGCTCCCTGTGTCCCTCCCTGCACCAAGGCTGTCTTCCTAAGCTGGCGGTGTAAAGTGGATACAAGGAAACAACAGAGCTTGAAAACCCTCTCAGGTCACTCTGATGACTGTAGACTGCACATTGACTTCTGGCCTCATGGACTCACCTCCTTCAGAGTTCCTTGGAACAATTCCAACAGCTCTGGCTTTAGTACTGTGCCCCACTGACTGTAAGAAGCTGCCCAAAACCACACTGAGGGAGAGCCATGTGCTTTGTGA